TCTTAGAACCAGCAGTAGAGGGGGGAAAAAAAACAAAAAACCAAAAACAACAACCCTCTGTACATGCAGAAGAGTAAAGGTAAGAAAGAAACCTTAGTTCTGGATACGATGGAGTAAACACATTTTGTCCTGTTACTCCTCAATTATTAGACTTAAAATCTATGGAAAAAATATATGAAACAAACAAGAATCTGAAAGTTGGAGAAATGAAGGCCAATTGTCTGGACCTTGGGATTTGAAGAACAACCCGACTCAATGGTCAGTTCCCTGAAGGAGAATTGGGTGTTTTGTGTTTTGTCTTCCTGTATATTCCAACCTCAGCACCAGAGAAGCCTGAAATTCGAAATGCCACCAGGTGCAAACAACTACCAAAACACGACACAATAACAATCAAAACACCAAAGCTATGCTTTCCCTAGCCAAAGAGCTCAGAAGGTTGCTGCCCTGCAGAACCGAACCCTTTGACAATGCCAACTCTACATTAGCTGAACACTAAAAACAAAAAGTACCAATCGACCACACTGTTATGCACAACAGCTAGCAGCGCCACCCTACCTTCTTGCCAGTTAGCATCTGTGATGCTTTGTGTGCCCACAGCGGATCACCCCAGCCCAGCATTAAAGTGGCAGTGCCCCCTCTCCCAGTGGGCACATGCAGATTCTGATGTAGGCAGAGACCTGACTACCGTCCTAGCCCATCAATAATGGGCAGCTACGGTTAGGTAGCACTGACTGCCATCCTAGCCCAGGAATCATGAAGCACTCCTCATCAGGAGATGCCGGCAGGTGCAATGGAAGTGTGTAAGTATAGAGTGCTGAGTACTGTTGTGACTTGGCTCTTACCAGGTGGTGTTCCTCCTCATACCATCTGGCAGGCATTTACAGAGGCAGTGTGTGAACTGCCAGTGCAGTATCACTCCAACGCAGCAGTAACAAAGGCCCTTTCCCCTTCCAGCCAGTGGGGCCTCCCATACTATGTGTGTAAACTGAGCCATGACTAAATTCGCCCTTATCAACAAGTAGCAAGATTTACATAAGAACCACGCTATGATTAGATTATACCCCAGATCACCAGGGTACAGTAAAAATTTACTCATTCTCACAAGAATCAGTAATATTCAATTTGAATGAGAAAAGACTGGCGGGGGGGGGGGGAACCTACCAAAAACAAGATGACAAAGATATTAGAATTATCTTACAAGGATTTTAAAGCTACTATCATAAAAATGCTTAAAGCATGGCATCTACCTAAAAACAGAGCTTCAAAATACACAAAGCAAAAACTGACAAGGTAACAACAGAGCCTTCAAAACCACTTTCAATAACAGCTAGAACAACTAGGAAGATTGTCAAGAGAGCAGAAGACGTGAACAACAGTATAAATCAACTAGATAATAGGCATCAATAGAAACTCTACCCAATAAGAGCAAAATACACATACATTCTCCTCAAGCACACATAAAACAAATGTTCTCCAGAATAAAACACACCTTGCGACATGAAACAAATGTTAATAAACTTAAAAGGATTAAAAATCATATTAAGTATATCCAGTTATGTGATATTAAATTAGAAATAAATAACAGAAAATTGAGACATTCACAAATATTTGGAAATTAAACATATTACCAATAACTTAAAAATCAAACAAAAAGTAAGGAAAATTAGAAAATACTTTCAGGTGAAAATGAAACTCATGAGATGCATATAAGGCAGTGAACAGAGGTAAATTTATAGTGATAGGTGCCTACTTTTTTTTAAAAAGAAAGCTCTCAAATCAGTAACCTAACTTTGCACCTTAAGAAACTAGGGAGGAATAAAAACAAGAATGAGGGAAATACTAAGGAATAGATGAGAAATAAATAGGAAAGTTAATAGAAAAAAGATTATAAATAAAGTCAAAATTTCTTTCTTTAAAATATAAACAAAATGACAAATATTCGGCTAAAATGGCCATGAAAATAAAAAAGGGAGATGATACTGAAATCCAGAATGAAAAGAGGGTGTGACTAGTGACCTCACAGAAATGTAAAGTATTAAAGGAAATGCTATGAACAACTGCATGCCAGCAAATTAGGTAACTTAG